ATACTATTTTTAAAGATATAATTTTATGAATAAAAAATACTTACAAAAATCTAAGTAATATTAAAGCTCTTTCCATTTTATACGTGAATATAATAAAATAATGCAAGGTTAAAATTAGAAGGCGCCATTTATAAATATGTTTTATGTAAGTAGAAAATTAACACAAAAAGAGAAAATATCACAGAAAAATAAGCAAGCAAAGTGTCTATGTAAAATTTTGCTCAAAAATGTTTTTTCACAAAATAGACAATTAAAGATGTTATTTTTAATCAAATTGGAGTTACTATTAAAATGGTTCAATTTAAATGAGAACAAAATATAGACAAAAATGTTATTTTCGTAATATAGACAATTAAATATATTTTTAAAATTAAATCGAATTTGCTTTTAAAAAGTTTCAATTAAAATTAAATGTCAACACTGTAGACACGCAAAAATAAAATACTATATTCATGATAATTGATAAAAATAAATTCTAAATATGATGTTCACAGGCAGTTTTTTTTTTTTTTTTTTTTGAAATGGAGGNTTTTTGTTGAAATGGAGGATTGCATTAATAAGCTATATGCATATTCACATGCATGAATCATATATTTTCATTCATATGCTAGGATGTTATTAAATTCTAAATATGTTTTCAATCATAGATTATCCCTTGTATAAAAAGACAATATTTGAATGCATACTTATGTCCTTAGAATGAAAGATCTCTCAAAAATAAAAATAAAAAGCTTAAATTAATCAAAATTTAGCAATTTCTACTTTTGCAATAGGGATTTGTTCTTTCTAATTTGTTGGAAACAATTCCTATAGTATTTGTCATGGATCAGGAATAGAGTAACTTTTATTTTGTTTGACAGCAAAAAACAGATATCTTGTATCAATTAGTAGATCTCTTTTTTTTTTTTTTTGCAATTAAACTTAAAACATTTGTGTAGCAAAAAAAAAAAGAAGAAGAAGAAGCATTCTAGTTGAAATTAAAAGGAAGCATTTTAATTTGTAAAATTGAAGTTCAAATTATAAAATTGGAATAAATTTTAAGTCGAACTAACTGATTGAGATGATTGAAAATATCTGCAGACCGAGTTTCTTCCTTAGCTTAGCTAAATAGAACAACAATAATCATTTTCATGAACTTATAAAATTTTCAATTTTTATTTTATAATAACTCAAATACGATTTTTGATATTATATTTATGCATTTGTTTAATAAAATTTATACTTATTGAGACGAGGGACACGCGCAACGCCCTCTGTCAATGTAAATTAGTTTTTATTATTTAAACATACATTGCATTTTATTTTAACTTCAATTGCTATTTTTCAACAATTTTTTTAATCTTGTATATGTTTAATAATGATTGACGCGATGTACACGTGCAACACACGTACACTAACACTAGTTAATCCTAAATGCTTAGTTAATTATCTTACGCCAAGCAATTTTATTTATTTATTTATTTATTTATTTTGGCGTCATTTCTTGTAGATTTGTTTTTTTCTTCCTTCTATTTTGTTATTTTAGTCATTTCCCTTTCATAATCAGCTGGGATCATACCATCTCTGCCAAACTCTTTGGAGTTTGGTGAAGCGTTGGGTTGGTGACAAATCTCCTTTTTCTAGTTCTACTTACAGCAAATTGAAGTTGTCTTTCTTTGACTTAAACAATTCTTAATAAAGTTTAATCCTGGAATATACTATCAACATAAGCAAGATTAATTTTAAACAACATGGACAGCACATACTTTGTCTTTACTCTTTAATTTCATATTCAATTGACGGTAATAATTATTAAAGAGAAAGTACAAATAAAACTATAACCACTTTGGCTGACATTTCATTGGTAAAACTTATTGTAATAGTTAATCATGTTTTAAATAAACTATCTAGTAAAGAGAAGTTAAATTAGAGATCTTTAGACCATTTGAATTCCATTGACGAAACCAAATGGAAGAAATTTAGAAACTAACACCAAACTAATGTTATTTATTACTTACGAGTTCAAGATACATGTTTGGTATTATTATGTTCATAATCCACCAAACCCCACTGAAGGTTGACAATTTATGTTTTCTGATTGATTTATTAAGAATTCGTATATTATCAAGTTATCTAAATCAGCTGTAACATATAATTTATATTTTTTAGGATACTAATTTCACTTATTATGCAAGATAATCTATAATTGTATTTTAGGTGATCTGATAATGTAAAAAATTATAAAATTATTGTATAAAAGAGTTTAACTCTGTATGTGAAAGTTTGCTCAAATTGCTAATTTCAAACTCGGATAAAGGAAAGTTGCGATAGGTGGCAGCCGATGCAGAATTTGCTAAATCATGATGAATTCCCATATATTTGTGACTGAGTCATAATTGCGTATTAAGAAAACTCAAAAAAAGTTAAGTGTGTAAGATTATTTTTATTCTTAAAAAATGTATAACAAGGATTTGATCTATGGTTCTAGTAATATAATTTGCCTTATTTATTATATTACATGAAAGAGTTTAATTTATCTACTTATGCTTTGAGAGATGCCATACTAGAGCCGGTTTGGATTGACTTTAAAAAAGTAAGTTTTTTTTAGAAGAAATTGCTTTTAAGTCAAAAATTAATAAGTTGGAATTGTTTAATTTATTGCTTTTGGCTTGTTTTTCTAAATTTATTTTAAACACTTTTTGATTTTACTAAATATTTAAAAAATAAATTAAAAGAGCTTAATTAAAAGATAGTTTGACCAGCTTAAAAACCAATCGAAACACCACTAAGTTCCCACTAGGTTGAAATTGAATAGGAGTGTGAGCAATTTTCCAAGTTTAAGCAAAAGGCAAAATGATGAGTTAGTTAGTGGCGGCATCTCAATTCCCCACCAACTTTTTCTCATAGATAACATAATGAGGTCCTACCAATACCAAATTGAACTGTAACAAATGCACCACCAACCCGCACAATAAAATAAAAACGAATTTACAAGTTTTATTGGTGTAATTTATGAATTTTGAACTTATATTTGAATGTATAATTCGTTTTAATTATTAAGTTCGTAATAAAAATTTGTATTTTAAGTTATAGTTAGTTGTAGTTATTAGGTCCAAAATAAAATATTTATACATATTTTATGAATTTTTAATATAAATATAAAATTAAAACAAACATTATAATTCGTTTAAACCCGTATATAATAGTGTAGCTCCGCCCATGACCCATCTATGGTTTGACGGCACATTGACTATATATCCTTGTTTTTGTGTCCACCAACCAACTAGGGCTCGTAAAAGATCCAAGTATTAAGATCTAAACATGGAAGCAATCAGTGGAGTAGCACATGCTTGTTAATTTTTATAATATATTTTCTGTGTTTAAAATATATTTGTGCGTATCTCGATAATTATTTGTTTAGCTAACTGGAACAACCTACCAAAGTGATCCTGCACACTAGCTTGGAGTAGATGTAATCACATTTTTTTGGTTTGATAAGTATGCTGTTCGGGCCAATTTTTGCGATTAATTTTACGAGATACCTATAATTTCACACCAGTAAGTAATCTTATCCATCAAATATTATGATTAATATTAGAACTTGAGATGTCCAAATGAGTAATACCACTTGTTAATCACTGAGTAATTCATTGAGGAGTACTAGAAGATTATTTGAAAAAAAATCAGAAATAACTTGATTTATAATTGCTAACTGAAAATTTGTCATAATTTTAAATGTAATCGAAATTTAGCTATTTTTCAATATAAAAATAAAATATGAATAAAAATTTCATTAAAAATCCAGTACAATACGCTGGAGTTCAAATTTCTAACATATGAGATTCCAATATAATGTGTTAGAATTCATAATATACCGGAGTTCTAACATAATATATTGAAAGTTTAAATGCAAGAGTTCCATAATCCAGCATATTATGCTGCAACTTTTTGTGTTTCAGCTAAAATATTTTTGTCCAAATTTTATCTCCACTTAAATAGTAGCAACTTTTTAATTACTTTGCATATGCTCGTTATTTTTCAATAACCACCTGTAAAATAACTATGCCATACTATTTTGACAAGATTATTGTGAACTCATATGAAATTATTATATAAATGAGATATGTTAAAAGTTTTAGTTGCAACTAGGAGTGACAAAATAGTTAAAAGAAAACAGTTAACCACTCATATTATACACTAAAAAATGGGTTGGATAATGAACTTTTTAAAGACGGGTTAAATATGGATAAAAACTATATTATCCATTTTGAAAATAGATAACCAATGGGTAACCAATGTATAATCAATAGTTCTAACTTTTACATTTGTAAAACCTCAAATTGGGGGTTTCTCAAGTTACGAAGACTAAGAATTCTCCCAAAAGTGATCATATACAAGAAGTCATGGATAATATGATTACCCATATTATCCGTCGGTTAACCTGTTTTTTTATCCGTATTAAATATGAGTCGTATCGGATAATTTATCCGTTTTTTCATTATCCGTTTTTGATCCGGACCATATCCGACCCGACCCGTCAGGTTTCCACTCCTAGTTGCAATTAAGTTAAAAGTATGTAATTTTCATGAGTTCAAGTCTCATCGTCAACAAGTACTCCCCTCTTTCCCACTAGCAGGAAGATCAATCAATTTAATTTTAGATTGAATTTAAACATAGAATTTAAAAAAATTTAAAAATAAAATTTATATATATAAAAACTGCATAAAAGATAGTATGAATTATAATAATTAACACTTCAATAGATTTTAAAACATATAAACATGGTATTTTTTTGTCAGACACTTTAAATACTAACTATACAGTGGGACAAAGAAAGTATATTGTTATTATTTCTTCCCTTTTTTAAAAGAAAATTGTTATGGCTTCTTCCCCTTTTTAATAAAAGAGAATTCCTCTCTTCCCTTTTACTGTTGGCGAATATATTTGGATATACCAAATCACTTGACCGACCCAGATCTTGATATAATGACTGTAACCTTCCACACATTCCAATATCAACTATAACCTTACGTTTTTGTTTTCCTTAAAATTTTATATATTTTTAAAATTGCTGCAAAAGTTTTTGTAGTAATACATACATCTCGTCCTCATTCATCTCTTCTATTTTTATTCTCAAAAATAAGAGCCCTACACTTCCCATTCATCCGTATCTCTTTTATTGAATTTTTGGTCAAATTTTCCTCATTTGAGTGTCTCATATTTGGAATCTTTGGCTAAAATAATTTTTCTCTCTTTTTATTTCCTTGTAACAGATTCAATTTTGTTCATCAGGTGGTTAATTGTGTATTAAGATCTGTTATATTTTTATTTATCTCTGTGTTCAATGGGCGCATTAGATGAAGGGCACTATCATTCAGAAATAGAGAATGAAGTAAATCTTGAGCTTGGCTTTGAGGTTCAGCCTGAAACTGTTGCTATTAAGGATGCTGTAAAAGTCCTTTTGCAAGGTTTGGGTGAAGATATTAATAGGGAAGGCATTAAAAAAACTCCTTTTCGTGTTGCTAAGGCTCTTCGTGAAGGAACTAGAGGTGAAAATTCTTTACATCCTTTTGGAATTTTAATCTTTTAATATGCTCAAGATTTGATTTTTATTTGTTCTGCGTCAATGAGTATAACTAGTAGCTTTGGCTCGAACCTTGTATATGTGTAAATTTACACCTTTTTTGGATTTTTAATTTTTTACCTGCTCAAGATTTGATTTTTATTTGTTCTGCACCAGTAGCTTTGGCTCGAACGTTGTATATATGTTAAAAATTCACTTAATAGATTTCGAATCCAGTAAATCAAATGTGCTGTGGTAGAATTCCGAACTCGAACACATTATGTTCAAATCCTGGATTTGACTCTTTATGGATCTGCTTCCTTTCTCCTTTCTATGAGATCTGGGGAAAGTGCAGCATATGCATCTAGCTTGTTAGCTTGGATTTAGATTTTCAAAGTCTTACTTGGAGACAAATAATAATAAATTACTATTAGTAAGTACTACTGAAATAGTATTTGTCTCATTACTATTTGTTTATGTGTTGCCCTTGTCGGAAAATGCCCAATAGCTGAAAGTTAAGTAAGTTTGGCAACCAATAATGATGGGGTATCCAGATTTTTGTTTGTTGTTTCTTTAGTGAAGATTCTGCAATCATGAACACTTTGTTCCTGTGTGTATAAAAGGAAAGAGAAGGGGTAGGTTGGTGGAATTAGCTTAATCAGAGTCCAGACAAACATTTCCTAGGAGTAGCTATTTCAGTTAAACAACTCCTTTTATGCCGGAATTTCATCTTGTCTGTTAAAACTAAAAAGAAACAGTCTTTCTCATCCCTTGTTCCTTTCTGCATTTTACATTTAAATGCTTGATTGCTAGTTAGAGCTGGAATTCTGTTTAGGCTGAAGAACTTTTTTTGTTGATTTTTTTTTTTACACCAGGAACTTGATAACGTTTTAACAAAGTGCTCCAAGTCGTTAGTGTCTTTCTATTTTATGCTAGTTTAGTGTGGATCTCAACATGCTGTACTCGTAGGAAATTTACATCTTATAATAGCATGAACCTATTGATATTTTTAATTTTACCTGGGTTGGTGGAATGATGTTTTGAACTACTGTTTGACTCTAGTCTTTCATCTTTTATGTTGAATGAAGGTTACAAACAAAAAGTGAACGATATTGTTCATGGCGCTTTATTCCCTGAAGCTGGATTGGAAGGTGGAAGTGGTCAGGCTGGAGGAGTTGGTGGGCTTGTGATTGTTCGAGATCTTGATCTCTTCTCATACTGTGAGTCTTGCTTGCTCCCGTTCCAGGTCAAGTGTCATGTAGGTTATGTTCCCTCGGGACAAAGGGTTGTAGGACTAAGCAAGCTCTCTCGGGTGGCTGATATTTTTGCAAAACGGCTCCAAAGTCCACAGCGCCTTGCCAATGAAATTTGTGCTGGTTTGCAGAATGGAATTAAGCCAACAGGTGTTGCTGTGGTTCTACAGTGTTCACATATTCATTTCCCAAATTTCGAAACAGCCTTTCTCGACTCGACTCCCCAAGGATGGGTAAAGATATTAGTCACCTCAGGTTCTGGTGTTTTTGAGGATGAAAAAGCTGATGTTTGGACTGATTTTTTAAGTCTTCTGAAATTCAGAGGTATCAGCATAGAAAGTGCCCACCCAAGGCTCTCCGACCAATCATGGTGCCCGTCTCAATCTTGTGGCAGGTTGGGACAAGCAAATTCAGCTATAACAAATGCAGTGCTTTCGATACTCAAGTCTCTGGGCGAAGACCCGTCAAGGGAAGAGCTTGTAGGAACACCATCTCGGTTCGTGAAGTGGTTCATGAATTTTAGTAATTCGAATTTGGAGATGAAACTGAATGGCTTTGTTCGAAGTAGAATAGATACTCGAATTCATCCTGGTCAGGTTGGTAGTTTCAAAGATGGTATCTGCTCTGAGCTCAATTTATCGTTTTGGTCCCAGTGCGAACATCATCTACTTCCTTTTCAAGGTGTTGTGCACATTGGTTATTACTCTTTGGATGGACTGAATCCAGTTGGAAGAGCGCTATTGCAATCAGTAGTACACTTTTATGGCTTTAAACTCCAAGTACAGGAAAGACTTACAAGGCAGATAGCTGAGACTGTTTCATCGCTCTTAGGTGAAGACATAATAGTAGTCGTGGAAGCAAATCACACCTGTATGATATCTAGAGGAATTGAGAAGTTTGGAAGCAACACGGCCACATTTGCTGTTTTGGGTCGATTTTCCACTGATCCTGCTGCAAGAGCAAAGTTTTTGCAGAGCCTCCCAGATTCTTGTTCTGCAGGAAAATAGCGTCTTGACTGAAAGGAAATATACAGGTTACAGCAAGTAGGTACTTGTCCTTTCAATGGCTCGGGTAAAACTGGAGGAATTGAGAAGCAAACTCACACTGAATTTGAAAACATAGGTCCTTTGCTCGGAATGCAAGGTCCTGTTTTTGACTTCTATACCATAGTGATATATGAGGTGATGAATTTTTATCCATATTTTTTCCATCCTTATATTTTGTAGCATGAGCAAGGGTCCATACCAGCAACCTTCCAAAGTTGCCCTTGATTCTTTTTCCAATGCAGTTGCCCTTGATTGAAGTGTCATACTTGGCACATTGCGCCGTATAGCTTATACATGATGTTTTCCTATCTTTTCTGCAACATTAATTTTACTGAAGTTCTGTTTGAATTCATCCAGTATGATGTTTTTGATTAGGCATTTCAGTATGATGTGAATCAGAGTTTTTCCTTGTCTACTGAGCTAATACTTCCTTTAAAATGTCTAATACAGTGGTATCTACTTCCCAAACTTCCCATTGCAACCTAATATGATGAGAAGATGGTGCATTTTTAACTTTATGGGTTTCACATCTTGCAGAATGTTTTAGCAACTTCTCTAAAAATAATAATAACCAGAGGATGGTGCCCTATCACGCGACCATATTCTGGAGAAAAGTTCTGAACAGAAGTAGAAGTAGCATTTTGTGATTGACAAAAGACTTCTTGGTCCAAAAAATGTACAAAAGGTATTTGGGAAAACCTTATCTTGAACATATTTTTTCCGAAAACTTTTCTATCTTTTCTAGAACTTTTTTTATCTTAACCTGAGGTTTTAGAGTTGACCTTTGAAAATGAAGAAGTTATCTTTGGCAAGGAGTGCTTTGCTCCTACCATAGTACTTCTCGTCACAAATTCGAATTAGTTGGAGCCCCAAAGCAAGTATCGAGCACCGGGAAACCCAAAAATAAAAACTCTTCACCGCATACTCTCTCTCTCCCCTCCTATGTGAATGCTAAAATGCTGACAAACTTTGCCTAGAATTATTAGCACACACACACACACACACACACACATATATATATATATATAATGCCAAAACGAATGTCACTTCCCTTGTTGAGAGAATTAACTTTGAATGGTCACATATGCAACAGTAGTAAAACGGCAGAGTTAACACTCGTAATGATCACCTTTACAAAGATTTCCCAAAGATAGCCAATTCTCCAAGTAAGAGAATTATAGCTGAAAGATCCTATATACAAGGAGAGCAAGACAGCTTATGCTGTTTATACACATAATAAATACTGCATTTTCGAAATTTCACAGCTATAGATAAATGCATCCATTTGTATACATCCGAGCTCACCAGTAAACTTAATCAGACCATAAGTGTCGGATTGTACCCCAATCTATGTTTATATCTGATTGGGGGTGCTCGGTGTGAAGATCGCAAACAGAATCAACCCCACTTGCATGGAAATCAACGTTGGGTACAGAATCAACGGTAGTCACATCCCAATCGATGTTTACATACGATTGTGTTACCTGTAGATTGGGAACAGAATCAATTAAAATTGCATTTCCATCTATGATTTACATGTCAGTGCAATACCCAATGGCGAAGATTGAAAAAAGAAGCAACCTTGCCATGAAATTGAACATATTGATTACCATTCCCACAAGTATTGCTAGAACCGCATATGCCAGTAGAAATGATACAAGCATCTCCAAGACACCCTAAAAGAGAAAATGCAACATGTTTTAAAATTGCACGATAGGTAGTAATTTAAACTGAAGAGCACATGTAGATGCAGAGTATGGTACAATTTACAAAAAGCACAAATCAATTATCATCTATAAAGCTATGAATACGGGCATTGTACTTTTAAGTTTTACCATCCATGTCATAATAACTGAATAAAATACCTAAAATGAATAGTGCACGCAAATGTAGCCCTGTGAACTAGAAATAGCAATGCAATAACTGGACCTTAGTAGGCTGTCAATATTGAGCCATAAAGTGTATGCCATCCAAATTCAAAAGGTTAGGCGGGTGACATTCATCTAAGTGACAAATAGGAGTAGCCCAAATCAATATTTCAACAGCCTGGGCTACATTAATATCAGACTTTACAGAATTTTGTCAAAAGGTAAAAATGAAAAAAGAAAAACTAATTGCTCTTGCATATGGCATTTTTATTTTATTGCACAGTGAATAACTTTTAGCAACTTTACTGTATAGCTACAAGCAGAAAAATAAAAAACAAACGGAAAAGTGAAATTTGAATGGTTGGAATATGACCCTTTATTTACTCAAACCCATTTTAACCCGCATAAATTTGATCCTACCCGAACATGCAACACCCTAGACCTCTGTATTGTAATAGGTTACCCTAGTGGAGAGACAAAGCATAAAAGGGGGGAAACGACTAATGTCAAAGACTGCATAAAAACATGCATTACTGCTTAAAGACTGCAGCTAGAAGGTCTAAATGTTGACTGAACGCCCATTTGATCTAGGAAACGTCCATCAACTGATGGTGCAACCATGGAGATGATGGCATACGCACCATACAAGTTTAAACCTGTTTTTACGGACAGATGAATTTTGAAAAGTCCCTAACAAAGAAGTGAAACTACCTAACACAAGAATCAACCATGTAAGTTAAGTTCCTCTAACAATAATCTCACCTTGCTGCTAAATGGGCCTTTGAAAGGTAGATTTTTATCAGCGTGCTCGAGGCAATAACGAAGCATGTTAAGTATAGTCAACTTAGTTCCTGCATCATCGCTTTCTGAAAACACAAGACCCAAAAAGAGAAAAAAAAGGAGGAAAAAGATTAGAGTTTAGTTCAACTTAAACAAATTCATGTAACAGCAGGCTAACTTATCTTGATGCCACCTGGGATGTCAAAAATTTGTTTCTTGGGATGAATACCAAGCAGCTGTCCCAAATGCATGCGGATTCGCGTACGATCAGAAAGGGAGAGTAAATCACCATGTGTGAGCACAACAACAGGCTTGTCATCTGAGACGTCGAGAGTGAGCAAATTAAAAGAATCATAATATGCCTCCAACAATGAGAAAGAGAAAATTGGATGATTAAATACTGAAATATGTGATAAACTTAGCATCAACCTGACGCTTGTTTTTGAATGAAAGAGGGATTTCTTCTCTTTTTTCTTGTTATTTTCAATGTTATTTTGGAAATCCAAGATGAACTACCGCATATTCTAAATCAAGGAAGCTTCAATTAACATTAATTGTTATCTAGGAGAACAACAACAACTTTGTTTCTATCTATACATTTTTTTAGTACTCACAGAATGCCTAAATTTCTTTTAATCAAATACATAGCTCTTACCAAGCTCAAAAACAGACTGAAGTGTAATAAAGTTAAAAGAAATTAAATTAATACCTTCAAATGACAAGAGAGGGTCGTTGAAAGTTGTAGCAACAGCTTGAGTTTTTCGCCTCTTGATTTCATCATCACTGTCCATCAATTCCAGAATTGAGACCGCACTGACAACGAATATGACAAAATTAACCACCTTGGCCTCAATGGCACAGAAACTATTTCGGCGAGCTTTAGACTTCATTTTGGATTTCAGATGTACATCGTCAGAATCCCTGCCAAAGGAAGCATTTCAGAAAGTCCAGGTACACCAAGTAAGGTTTTGTTTAAGGAAATTTAAGGAAAAAACAATGATATGAACCTCTTTATTAGCTCCCCATGACGAACACCCTTTGTCATCCATTGCTTCACCATTTTCTTATTTTCAGCCAAATCATCTGACAAACTACGTGTGTCATACAAACAAAAAGAACTTGAACCTCTTGGTATCATGTACTCTTGGAGAAAAAATGTCCCATCTCCAACAGAAGAATCTGGTAATCCATAGGTTCAAGAACAACGATGCTGTTATATCTGCATTAATTATCTGACAACTAGTATTTAAAGAAACAAACTATCTAATCACATTAGTATCTACGATAAATAGAGCACACATGACAAGCGTATTCTTTGTGGTTATCTTTTATCAAATTTCACTTATTTCATGAGAAAAGGAGAGAGAACATACACGATACTGGGGCCCTTTCTGGTGTAAAGGGATCATCCTCAAGCACCATCGAGATCTTGTTAACAAGACTGCTTTTTCCAGATGCTTTTGGACCAATCAACAAGAGTGTCATCTTTTTTGGTATATTATAATCGCCCTTTTTCATGCCACCCAACTCCTCAATCCATGATCCAGGAGTGTAGCTGCAGTGGTCATTTACAATGTATCTAAACAGATGCATAGTAGTTACAATAAAACACTACAAAGAACAATATGATATGCTATGATAGATTCTACCATGTAAAGTTGAGAAACTGAATAAATGCCGGAATGAAAAACCATTTCCCACTTTCTGAAGCTTAGCAGATTATCCAGTATTAAAACCCAAAATACAATATTTAATCCAAATATCTGGAAACAGAGGAGGAGAAATCAAACAAGGCCATGAAACAAACAGCACCCCACAAATAAATAAGTAGAACAAATACGAGGAGCATTGTTAAATTATCATATCTAGTTACTTATTCCCGAGAGTAAAAGAACAAGAATAGCAAACAAATGACTATAAATCACAGTACCTCAATATTTTACTTTTGACTTCCTTCCAACGGTCGTTATGAAGGTGCAGTTCATCATAGCTCTTGAGAACATCCATATACACATTCCTTACCCGCTTTCGATTAACTTCATCCAAGGAATTTGAAGAAGCTCGAACGGATTCCTCAGAATCCATAAAGCCTAGGCCAACTTTTCCATTCTCCACTTTTAAGCCAAAATGATCACCACCACTGAACACATTCAAATTTCCAACCACTAGTATTACAATATGTACACACACACACATAGAAACTGTAGCGAGGTCCATCTTTGCGTACAAATCAGGAACCAGTTAGAGTAATTACCTGAGAAAAGTAGGCGAGCCTAGAGAATTTTCAGGGAAGTCTTGATCAAGAGATGATGCTTCTGCAAGTACCAAAAAATCAATCTTTTTATTTTTTTTTACCTAAGAATAACAGTCAACCTACTGCAATACCTCGTTATTTATCCGAAATTAAAAAGGCCAACATTTTACAAACAAAAATAGGAAAATTTTATGCAACAAATGTGAATACTGAATACATACAGAAAAGAGAGAGACCCATAATGTACCAGTGGAATAGATGAGAGGGGAATCAAGGGTTGTAGTATCTCCACCCATAGCTGAAAAGTGAAAACTTCTGTGAATTTAGGTTTTTGAAAGTTTACTCTCTAGGGTGAAGAGAAGAGTAATAAGGTGATGATGATGAAATTGGAAGTTCAATTACTTAGCAAACAAGAGTTGAAGGGGCGGCATGTGCTCGGTCATTGATCATGTTCTTCTGCCACGTGTCATCTGATTTGGCAATAGTTGATTGGTTCTTCGAGTCTCCCATTCTATTATGATTTCTCTAGTTAATACCATGAAACTCTCCTAAACTATAATATTTTTGTCAGTTTATTGCTTAAACTATTCAGTATCCCCAAAAAACCCCTGAACTATATTGTTCTTCATATTAAAACCCCCTCGTCGTTGACCTAGCATAACATGTGCAAACACTCGCTTGGGAGCGCGTGACAGCTGAAAAAAATTATATAAATAACTCATATAGCAGAAAATAATGGCTAATTAGCCTAACCCTCTTTCACATTTATTTGTTTTTAATAAATATTCTCCATATTTCAATTATATCCACCTTTTTCCCTCATTTTTTAACCATTTTTCCATTTTTTTTACATTTCTTCTTTATGTTTCACCTTCTTCTTCATTTTTAACCTTTTTTCTTCAGTTCGCCATATGGGTTTCCTCTGGAAAAATTTCTCCCTCTCTTGTTTCCTCTGAAATATTTTATTCTCTTTCTTGTTTTAGTCTTCTTTCATTTCTTACACATATTGTTGAAAGAATACCAATTTAAATATTCTTATTAAACTCAACACCTTGTAGAGAATAAAGTTGAATATCTTGGACCTTCTTTATGTAATCTGGAATTAGAAAATGTAATTTTATTTGTTGGCCAATTGATTTTTTATTTGTGAAATTTTATTTTGTGTAATCTTTTTTATGTAATATAAGATGATTTTTAAGAAACACTATATGCCTTTATTTATATTTTTCCGTCCTACAAAGTGAATATAAATGACTTATTCAATTAGAGATTAGCATAAAGCACAATCACAATTAAACCTAAAATTAACATAGGGCATTAAATATTATTTTGGCCAAAACTCATAAAATTAATCAATCATCCCAGAGTAATACATCATGAGTAAACTATATAAAAAACTCTTTAAAAACTATAAGTTAATATAGTTAGACAGACGCAACATGGGGTTTTAATATATAGGGGAATATAGTTCACGGGGGTTTTGGAGATACCAGATAGTTTAAGTAGGTAACTAACAAAATGGTGAAAGTTTAGGCGGGTTCTAGGCTATGTTGAATAGCCACGTGTAGTGCTACAAGGCACGTTTTTTAAATAATTAGGAGAGTGTACTACACACGCCTCTAAGAATGCAATAAGGGATTTTTAATATGAAGGGCAATATAGTTCAGGGGGGTTTTGGGGACACTAAATAGTTTAAGTAGGAAACTGACAAAAACATGATAGTTTAGGGGGATTTTAGGGTATTAACTCTTCTCTAATTAATAAGGTTACGTTTCACTTGGAAAAAATTACACTTATAGGAACTTTGAACTGTTCTTCAGATGTTGTTTAACTGAATTAAGAATTATTTTTACCAACTTGATTTATAGCCTGTTTGGCCAAGCTTCTTTTTGGCCAAAAGTACCTTTTTTTGCCTAAAGCACTTTTGGCCAAAAATTAAGGTGTTTGGCCAAACTTTTGGAAGGAAAAAAAGTGTTTTTGAGGAGAAGCAGAAACAGCTTTGGAGAAGCTTGACCAAACACTAATTGCTGCTCAGAAGTGTTTTTCAAACTAATTAGCCAAACACAAACTGTTTTTCACCAAAAGTACTTTTGAAAAAAAAACACTTCAAAAAAAAAGCTGATTTTTGTAGCTTGGCCAAACGGGCTATTAATAAGATGAAAATCCAGTTAGCTCCATGCGAATAATTTTATTCTCCCTCCGTTCACTTTTAATTGTCCACTTTTCGCGACTCTTAAGAAATAATATATAAAATATATATTTTTTAATTTTACCCTAATGATAGCATTTTTAAAAGTCTTGGAAAATGATTTAGGAAATGAGTAGTTAATGATAAAGGTAAAACGGAAAAAAAAGATTCTCTTTCTCTTGATTTCGTATAGTAGACAAGTAATAGTGAAAATATATTTTTGGTATTATGAACAAGTAAAAGTGAATGGAGAAAGTAGTAAATTACATAAATACTAGGAAAAGCACCAGTTAATTAACACTCGTAACCATGGGCAGAGCTAGAGGAGCATTAACCCCTTCGTCGAAAAATTACATTCACCAAATTATTTTTTATTTATATATAGTATATACTAGTAAATGCTGAAACCCCTTGGCTTCATCACATATTTACTTTTTAGATTTTCAACCCCTTAGTGAAAATCTTATCTCCGCCACTCCTCATAGTTATCAACTTTACAAATGAATGTCAGTTGTCCTAGTAAGAGAATCATTGCTGATAAGTCCTATACATGCAAGAAGAGAGTTCTACTGCTGCTGTTTATACAGAGAGAACATTGCATTTGGGGAACATAACAGCTATAGACAAATGCATCAACCTCATTACATCCGAGCTCATCAGTGAACATCGCCACACAGTAAGTGTCGAATTGCACGCCAAATTGCAACCCACTGTATGTTTACATCTGATTGAGACGTCTCATTGTGAAGATCGCAAACAGAATCAACACCATTTGCATGACCACCTATGTTTACATGTGGTTGCAATACCTCAGGACCAACAACAGTTGCATTCCAGTCTATGTTTACCTGTGATTACAATGCCTATAAAATGCGAACACAAAATCAACCATAGTTGCATTATAATCTATGTTTTACGTGTGATCATACCTCAGGGTTACAGAATCAACCGTGCCTATGAAAATGAAAATCCATCAAGATCAGCACCACTCCCACAAATATTAATAGAGTTGCCTGTGTCAGTAGATGTAAAAGCATCTTATTCAAGGCACCCTAAAAGAGAGAATTGTAACCTGATTTGAAAATGCACGATAAGCAGTAATTTATACTGAAGAGCACATGTAGATGCAGGGTATGGTACAATTTAGAATAAGCACGAATCAAATTTCATCTGTAAACTATGAATACGTGCATTGTACCTTTTCAATATCTGTTATAACGCCAGCTGAATGCTATACCTAAAATGAATTATGCAATATAATAACTGGATCTTATAGCCTGTTTCGCCAAGCTTCAAAAATCAGCTTATTTTGAGATGTGCTTTTTCTCAAAAGTAATTTTGGAGAGAAGTAGTTTGTGTTTAGTAATTATTTTGAAAAGCACTTCTGAGCGGTAATTAGTATTTGGCCAAGTTTTTAAAAAGTGCTTCTAAATATATTTTTCTCAAAAGTGCTTTTGGGGAGAAGCTACTATTTTCTGCTTCTCCAAAACTGCTTCTGCTTCTACTCAAAAGCATTTTTTTTCTTCTAAAAGCTTGGTCAAACAGTTCAACTATGGAAAAAAGTGCTTTTGGCATTGGAAAAGCTTGGTCAAACAGGCTATTAGTAGGGCTGTCAATATTGAGCCGTAACGTGTAAGCCATCCAAATTTAACAGGTTAGGCGGGTGACAGTCATCTAAGTGGCAAAATAGGAGCAACAGACTCGGCTATAGCTAATCATTACAGAATTTTGTAAAATAATAGATGATTACAACTATTTCTCAATAAAACAAGTTGGGGTCGGAAAATACTAGAGGACTCGAAAAAAGAAAAGGACAGTCAATTTCTTTTGCCTATAGTAGTTTACTTACTGCCGAGTGAATGATTTTTAGCAACTCAACTGTATAGCTACAGAAAGAAAAGAAACAAAAGTGAGTTCTAGTTGAACGGCTTGGACTACGACTCACTCCTCAACCCTTTCTGACCCAAATAAACTTGGAAACATGCAACAGGATCCTTTATCTACTCAACCCTTTGAAACTCGCCTAAGTTCGACACAACCCAAACATGTGACACCCTGAATCTCTGTAGCAGTAGCCATAACGTGGTAACTCTTGCCAATAAGCAAAGCGTACAAGTGAAAAATGACCAACATCAAAGGCTGTGTAAAATTATGCACTACTGCTACAATATTTAACTAAATTGATTGTTCCAAGAGACTGTAGCTAGAAGGATGAAGTGTGGACTGAATATTTGATCTAGGAAATGTCCATCAACTGATGGTGCAAACATGATGATGATGGCATGTACGCCGTACAAGTTTTAACCTGTCTTTACAGACAAAGGAACTTTAAATTTTAAAAAGCCCCTAACAAAGAAATGAAACCACCTAAACAAGAATCAACCATGTAAAATTAAGTTCCTCTAACAATAATCTCACCTTGCTACTAAATGGGCCTTTGGCAGGTAGATCTTTTTGAAGGGTAGGTTTTTATCAGTGTGCTCAAGGCAATAACGATGCATGTTGAGTATAGTCCACTTAGTTCCTAAATCATCACTTTCTGCAAACACATGACGAAAAAAAAGGNGTCCCAAATACATGCGGACGCGCGTACAATCAGAAAGGAAAAGTAAATCACCATGTGTGAGCACAACAACAGGCTTGTCACCTGAGATGGCGAGAGTGAGCAAATTAAAAGAACCGTAGTATGCTCCAACAATGAGGAAGAGAACATGGGATGATTAGATACTGAAATAAGTGATAAACTTAGTATCAGTCTGACGCTTGTTATTGAATGGGCTAAAGATTTCCTCTTTTCTTTTCTTTTTCTTATGACTATCAGTGTTATTTGATCCAAGGTGAACTCCCCCATATTCTGATCAAGGAACTCCTCAAATAGAGACTTTTTAAACATCTAGATTTTACAACTGAGATGCTGTCCCTCCTATCATTAAAGCACGTATTGTTTCTATCTACACATTTTTTAGTACTCACAAAATGCATATAATATACAACAACTACACTGCTCTTAAGAGGATAAAAGACAGATTGAAGTGATAAAAAAGTTAAAAGAAAGTGAATTAATACCTTTGAGTGACAAGAGAGGGCTGTTGAAAGTTGTAGCAACAGCTTGAGTTTGTTGCCTCTCTGTTTCATCGTCACTATCCATTAAGTGCAGAATTGGACCGCACTGACAACAAATATGACAAAATTAACCACCTTGGTCTCAGTGGCAACTATTTCGGTGAGCTTTAGATGTCAGATGTGCATCATCAGAATCCCTGCCAAAAGGAGCATTTCAGAAAATCCGGGTAGCCCCCAACTAAGGTTTTGTTTGAGGAAATTCAAAAATAATCATATAGACCCCATTACTTGCTCCCCATGACAAACACCCTTTGTCATCCATTGCTTCACCATTTTCTTATTTTCAATTAAATCATCTGACAAACTACGTGTGTCATACAAACAGAAAGAACTTGTGGCCAAAGAGCTTGCACAGCATGCTAGTAGTCAACCGCCACTGTTGTCGTCAGGCAGTTCTCCTGGTCCAGATGAGACAACTGGAAGGGCAGACTCTACGCCTGAAAACCTACCTACTAGCTCTGTAATTGAGAGCTTTTCCATAGAGTCCAGGATTGGTGACAGCAAGCACAATAATAATAGGCAAGGAAAAGCACATGGAGTGTGGAGGCAAAGGGGTTTCAGCAGACTTGGCATTGGACACCAGCAAGAACACTTACTCTGGATCACACCAGCAAGAACACTTATAAGACTCTGGATCACACTCGATCTTTGAAGCCTGATGGAGATTCTGCGAAATCTGATTCGAAGTGGTCGAGTGAGTTCGATGTATCAGATGGTTGGAACATGCCTTTCTGGTGTAAAAGGATCATCCTCAAACACCCTCAAAATCTTGTTAACAAGACTACTTTTTCCAGATCCTCTAGGACCAATCAAGAGGAGTGTCATCTTTTTTGGTATATTATAATCGCTCATTTCATGCCACCCGCAACCTCAATCCATGATAT